ATCTGTTCATTCAGAAAGCCTTTACTAAACAGCTGCTCTGTGCCAGGCCTTATTCCAGGAGCCTGGGAGCAAACAAAACCAGTGAACAAACAAACACCAACAAAAACTCCCTGCCCACATGGCACTTACTTTCAAGATGGAGAAAACAATTAACAAGGTAATGAATACATTCATTATAAATACAGTAGACTAGGAGCTATTAAAGGGAAACGTACGAAAAAGCTGGAGCAGGGAAGGGGGATGGAACACACCCTAATGGGTGGGAGATTGCAAGTTTAAATAGAGAACCTGCTTCTGGGGTCGTTAAGGAGATGAAAACTGAACAAAGAGCTACAGAGGGGCAGGAGGCTTAGCCTTGCAGATGCTAAGGGCAGAAGAGTCCAGAAGAGGACAGAGCCAGTGCAAAGGCTCTGAAGAGAGAACGTGTCTCCCGTGCTTAAAAAACGGCAGAATGATACGTGCACCCCAATGTCTATAGCAGCTCTATTTACAACAGCGAAGACATGGAAACCACCTAAGTGCCCACCGACAGATGACTGGATAAAGAAGATGTGGTACATATATACAATGGAATATTACTCAGCCATAAAAAAGAATGAAATAATGCCATTTGCAGCAACATGGATGGACCTAGAGATTATCATACTAAGTGAAGTAAGTCAGAAAGAGAAGGACAAATACCGTATCATATCACCTATATGTGGAATCTATAAAAAGGGTACAAATGAACTTATTTATAAAACAGAAATATATTCACAGATGTAGAAAACAACTTATGGTTACCAGGCAGTGACGGGGGGGATAAACTGGGAGATTGGGATTGATATATACACACTACTACATATAAAATAGATCACTAGTAAGAACCTGCTGTAGAGCACAGGGAACTCTACTCAGTACTCTGTAATGACCTATATGGGAAAAGAACCTAAAAAAGAGTGGATCTATGTATCTGTATAAATGAGTCACTTTTCTGTGCACCTGACACTAACACAACATTGTACATCAGCTATAGTCCAATAAAAATAATAAAAAAAAAAAGAACTGGCAGAAAGGCCACTGTAGCTGAAGCAGAGGGAGTGAGGGGAGAGCCCGAGAGAGGAAGGTGGAGCACGTAGGGCTTCGTGGTCAGTGGGGTGAGTCTGGCTTGCACTGCTGTGGTATGGATGGCCACAGGGCTGGGGGGCCAGAGAGCAGCAGGGACACAATGTAATTTACATTTTAAAAGGACCACAAGCATGGGAGAGAGAGGGGTCAGTCAGGAGGCAGGGAACCCCGTCTAGGAGATCGTTGCAGTAACCCAGCAGCAGGGCCATGGGGGCTGGATTTAGGGTGGGTGCAGAAGAGGCGTAGTGTTCCCTGACAGACTGGACGTGGGCCACCGGGTAAGAGGGGGCTCCGGGACACTTGCAAGTCCTTGGCTGAAGGAACAGCTGAAAAGACGGGGTTGCCATCAACTGACAGGGAAGGGTTGTTGTAGGAATAGTGTTTCAGGGGATGAAGAGGGAGCAGAGGTGGAAATCAGAAGTTGAGAATGCGTTGATATTAACGCGTCCGTAAGACAACTTCCACCAAAGTTAATACAAGGTGATTGCTGGTTTCTAGCCTGAAGACGATCGACCCCTTGAAGACTGGAACTTTGTCTTTTCTCTGACACCTAGAACAGTGACCGCTTGCAGAGTAAAAACTCAGTAAAATGTATAATGAATTGATGAATGAATAAGTGAATACTGCCCCAAATTAGCACATTAGTGAAAGAGAGTCAGATTTTAAGTCTCTAGAGTTATTTTTGGCACAGGATATAAGAATGAAGAAATTTAACATTTGCAATTTATATTCGGTGGTTATTAAAATATGTTAAATATTGAAACACATAAGGTTTACTTGTATTTATTGAATAAGATTGATTTTAATTAGGAAGCTGTGGAAGGTGTATTAACTTTCAAGGAAGACTAGAAGTTTTAAATAATTACTAATTTAATAGTCCCACAACTTGATATAAATTATATAATTTCCAATGCCTAACCACGGAGAGGATTTGATGTCATGAATTATATTTTTACAGGCTCTCATGCCTATAGCATAAGTTTACGATTTAAATTATCTAGCAACATACCCGATACAGTCCGTGACCCAAAACACAATGTAAAAAGAGATAACCGCATTCGAGATATTTTCCCTTGGACAGATGATATATGCTTGTTTGTATTAGGAAATGGTATATTGTTCCCTATCTAGTTTTTCTTCCTTTCTTCTGCCCGTGAAACAATCATGAGAGACACAACCATGAAAGTCCTGTCTTGGAATTACTCTTTACACCTGTTGACAACACACTCCTCCCGATTTCCCTGGACCTGTTACGCTGTGGCATGGCTCACGGGCAAAGCCCTGCTCAGGCGTCCTACCTCTGGAAAGCCTTCCTACCGTACTGTCCTAATCATGTGTAGGAGCTGCCACCGTTTACATGTATCACTCGCTATTATATTTGCTTACGGGCATGTTTGTATCCTCCATAAGGCTTTGGATTATCAAAGGCAAGAGTCATTCTTTAAAAGTATATTGAGTTCCCGGCTGTCTAGTACATAAGCAATATGCCTCCGTGTTAGGATGAACTCCCACCCAAAGGCACATCCTCCACACAGATTTTCAGTACTTTCTATCAAGCTTCAAAGACCATAGAAGATATATCTCCTACCGGCACCTCTGTTTCCAAAGCTGTGCTAAGTGAGTCTTTGTAAATGTTGTTGAATTTTGGGGCCGAGGGTCAAAAAGTGATTGACAGCCTACTTTTTCGGGGGTGGAGGGTGAAGCAGAAAAGAACAGCTTTATTGCTTTGCTGTTCGTGCAGGCTCGTGCCCTGAAAAACTGTGTGTCCCAACCCGGAAGGATTTGGTGAGGAGTTCTACAGCAATGGTTCTAGGGCGGGGTTGCTGATAAGGACCAGGGTGTGTGCAGGGCCTGCGCTCCTTTAATCTGGCCTCCAGGACCTTCCCTGAGTTCCAACCGGTAGGTTCAAACAGCCGCTAATCAGGGAAGGGAGGGGATGCGGAGACAAGGGAGGGGCAGTCAGGAAACAACAGTGTAGCCTTGGGGCAGGGCCCTTGTACTACCTCAAGGGATACACAGAACATGGAAGAGGCTGTGTTTTGTTTTGTTTTGTTTTTAACATCTTTATTGGAGTATAATTGCCTTACAATGGTGGGTTAGTTTCTGCTGTATAACAAAGTGAATCAGCTATACGTATACATATATCCCCATATCCCCTCCCGCTTGCGTCTCCCTCCCTATCCCACTCCTCTAGGTGGTCACAAAGCACTGAACTGATCTCCCTGTGCTATGCGGCATACCATATGCTAACACACATGTATGGAATAATAAAAAAAAAAGTTCTGAAGCACCTGGGGGCAAGAAGGGAATAACGACACAGACCTACTCGCGAGGCTGTGTCTTTAACCTTTTAAACCTATGCTCTTTGCGGCGCCCCACAAGGAAGGGCCACCACGGTCTTTCTGAAACTTGTCAGAAGAAACCAAAAGGGAGCCGCTCTGGAGGGAAATGTTACAGCCAGAAGGGAGCAAAGAAAGGTCACCAGCAGAGTGAACTCTGCTGCTAGGTCTCAGCAAAAACGTTGGCAGAATGCATTGCTCTCTTATCCCCTAAATCGCTGCGCTTTGAGGCAGAGCACGTGAACTTTAATAACCATATGCCTTCCGTGAGAAAAGAATCATCTCCTTTCGCTTTCATCCTTCTCACAGCCAGCAGCAGTGGGAGGCTCCACGATGACTAGCAGAGTGTTCAAAGGAATGTCAGTCCCATCTGAGGGTGAACGCCACATGCACGCTCCATCAGAGGACTTCACTGGCCGCACATCTGGACGCAGGGAAGCCTGCAATCCCAGCGGATGTGGGCCTCAGTCAGACCCCTGCTGAACACAGGAGGAGACAGACACTGATGGGGTCCCCTCCCTTCTAAGCAGCCCTGTTAAATGGTGGCAGGCCCACGGCCCTCAAGCCCTTTATACATATATCTGTGCTGAATCTCAGTCAAGGTCACCAAACGAGAAGTCACCTACTTTAGAGAAGAACTTAGCTCCGGGCTAAGCTTTAGCATCCTATGGGATGCTTTCCTAAATTTGACGTTGAATTAATAGGATCCATTTACACACCCCAAAGGAGAAAATTTAAAAGTTTCTAATTCTTATCTAGCACCAGTCTCACAACCAGACGCAAATTTAAAGCCAAACAATTTGTGCAGAAAACAACAACATCAACAAAACTTCTCCAGGATGTATGAACATAACTATGAGAGCAACTGAAATGACACTGTCCCTGACTGGTTCTTGCGCAACCTGCACTATAATACACAGATAACACAGATAAACAGATCACTATACATTTGACAATATTCTGCAGCTTTTATTTTTCATAAACCTAGTCTCAAAAAGTGAACATGATCTCATCTCACTCACTCTTCCTCCCTCTGGTTTTACTCTTATCTCTGCTGTCAATCAGGTGACGAACAGAAGAAAAAGAAACCCCTTCCTATCAACAGCAGAAATATGTCATATTTGGGGGTAAATATATGCATGTATGTATAGACACAATAAAGTACACTGAATAAACCAGTGAAGACCTCAAGGTGTCCAGACACACAGAGAATAGAAGATGAGTCTGGGTAGCGCTTTTTACAGAGCAGTGCATGGCATTTAGCGTTCAAAGTTTCTTTGATTACATAAATCATTATATTTATTTTGTTAATTATGAAAACAAATTGAGACTTTTATCTTCTTCCTAAGGTGTCCCAGAGAACAGGCTACTCACCCACAGTTAGATAGAGATAGAGATGAGGGTGGATAGGGAGGGGGAGGGGAGGGGAGGGGAGGGGGAGGGGATGGGAGGGGGAGGTGAAGATGGTGGAGGCGGAGGTGGAAATGGAGATGGAGGTGGAGGTGGGGATAGACATGGTGATGGAGGTAGAAGTAGATCCTGATAGATACGTACCTTAATTGTAGTCGTGTGTGCTCCAGGGTATTCTTTTTCTTCCAGTGTTGACCATCTCTCTATAAACTTAGATACCATGGAGTCATCATAGTCTACTATCTGAAATCCAGAGACGTTTGCACCTCCAAACTGAATTTTTAATAGGTCTCCATCGGTAAATCCCTGGACAGAGAACATATTTATGTCATGCTTTCTATTAAGAACCAAATAGAACTTAACGTTAAGCAAATAGCTCTATACATTGTGGTTTTACAAATTTCAAAGAACTCATGAGGGAGATAAAAAGCCTATAGTAAATGTTTCATGTATTTTAACAGCCAATATTCTTCCCCAGCACCTAGCCTCATCCTGGTCACAGCGGGTCCTTAATCAATGATTGTTAATTGGTCACACTTACATAAAAGTTCTCTGTATTATTGAGAAATCTTCCAAGGATAAGAACTGGGTTTTATTTACTGTATTTACAACAAAGCATCACCAGATACAAACATTAAGCTACTTCTCCAAGAGCTACGACATTGCGTGACGGTTATTCCTATTTAAACTGTTCACTCTCTCAGGTGACATCAAAACCTTGTCAATGAGAAGGGAAGGTACCAAATGCTTTGTCATTATTGGAGAACAATTAAGCATTTTCACTTTAAGCATGAAACTTAGTTTCTATAAAATGTTTTAAATTTTAAAAAGCCACTTCTACTGCATTGTTAGAATGAATTCAGTCATTACTAAAACTATCATATAGTGTTTCCACTGCTTTCAAATCTTGTGCTGCCATAAAGTGTATCTCAATTTGGGAGTACATTCTCTGAAAGATGAAATCACAATTTTAAAAAGTCACAATTATAAATATTTTCATCTTATACACTTATTCCTTATTATCACACAGAAGAATTGGAAATATTTTGACCTAAATATGAGAGCCTTTTCTTTGTTGTTGATATTAAAAATATAGTTTAATATTATTTGTTATTGGCTCATATTTTTGCTTTTTCTTTTTATCAAATAATGCAAATAGAGGAAAATGTATATAACAAAATTCACAGATTTTCTGTTCTGACCCACGCATGCCTCAGTTAAGCTGCTTCAAAACAATCAATTTCAGTAATTTTTGTTTTTCGTGTATTTACCTCTGTAATTCTGCATGACACATTTTTGTTCTTCTTTCCTAACTTACCCATGTTAGATTTTCTTCTTCAGTTTATACTTGTGCCAGATGAGTATGTAAGTCTCATAAGCAAACCATCTATCTCCTCAGCCATTTTAATGTTCACTGTTTTCACAGTTAGAATTCTGTTGTTCAGAGCAAAGCCAAATAACGTGTTTGGATTGCATTTTCCTTCTTGAAAAGTATTTTATTCTAATGTTAATGATTGCTTCATTGTTTTCACTACTAGAGCTTTCTCTTTCTTATTTTTTCTCCAGTTGCTCCATGTAAAAATTTTCATGTTTATATGGGTAAAAGTTTTTTCAATTAAAATGTTGAAACATATCAAGTCATCTCTCTTTTCCCCTGCCTCCTGGAGCCTTCCACCTTAACGCTGCAATCTGAATCGTTCCTCTTTCATCTGCTCTGCAACTGTTCTCCTGAAATGCCCCTTCCCCTCTTTTCTGAGTAGCTTCTCTGTATCCTCCATCACTTTTCTCTCCTGTTTTACCCCTTTCTTCAGCTAGAGTCCTCCGTAGTCTCCTGAGACACGTGGAGGTACCTTTTTTGAGACACTGAATGTCTGTAAATACCTTTGTTTTCTCTGACACTTGACTGGTATTTTGGCTGGGTATAGCATTTGAAGTTGAAACCCTGATAATCTGAAGGCATTGTTCTACTGACTTACTGTTTCTACTGAAAAATACAACAGCATTATTTCTAATTATTTTTTGTCTGTGACCTGCTTCATACTCCTTCCGGCTTCCCACCTGTCATAAACTTTAAGATCTTCTATTTATCTCTGAAAGGTCATGGTGATAGTTTACGAAAGAAGCCTTTTGTCTTTCATTATTGTGTGTACTCAACAGGCAGATTTATGTCATTTAGTACCGGAAATTTCTGAGTGTTTCTCTGATGATTTCCTTCCCCTGTTTTCACTATGTCTGTTTAGAAGGTTTATTAATAAGACATCACAACCCCTAGATTAAACATCTGAGTCCCTCAGTTTTCTCCACATACACCGTCTTTTATTGTATTATCATTTTGCCACATAATCTGGAAGATTTTCTCAACTTTACCTTCAAACTCATGTAATTTTACTAGTTATTCTATGAAAAATAAGTTAACTTCCCAGAGCTCTTTCTTGTTCCTTGAATTTTTTTTACAGCAGCCTTTTCTCCTCTTTTTTGGATAACATATTTTGTCTTATTTCTCTGAAGAGATTCTTACAATTTGCAGCACTTTCTCCTGACTCCTGCCTGCCTTGTTTCCGTGTACCTGTTTATTTGTATTACATCCCTCATGGCAAAGACTCTTTTCTCAAAAGTCTGGTAATGCTTGGCTGTCTAAGAGGAAGATGCCAAAACATTTCTTGGCATTTCTGTGTGCACGGGCAGGGCTGGTTGATGAGTGAACCTCACTGTAAGGCAGTCAGGTGGGCGGATTGCAGGGCTTTTCGTCTGATTCTGAAGGGCTGAAGAAACGAGAATTGGATCCCTTCTGACCGCTTCCTCATCCTTTATCCCCTTTAATGACGTATCAGGAACTGAACTATAGCCTGTGTTTGGGGAGCCTAATCGAGCATTCAGCAATTTCTGAAGAAACAAGTCACTAACAGTATCTGAGGATTTTTCTATCTTTTACAACCACTTCCTTTCACCCATTAGCCACTGGAGATGGAAGAAGGGACATTCCCAACCAAGACTTTGGAAGATGAAAGCCCTTCAACTTTGGATGGCATTCTCCAATTTTAAATGGCACTGAAATTTTCAAGTGCCCTAGAGATTCTCAGAAACTGCAGCACTCTACAGATTCTTTGAATTTACTGATTCACTAGAAATTCCATGTGGCGAGGATACCAAGTATTCAGAGAAGGAAAAACACAACTTGAATTCAGATAAAATGTTATGTAGATTTCTCCCTATAGCAGCATGACAGCAGCAAGAACTTGCTTTTATTTTTGAACCTTTTTACGTTGGTCAACACACGTTTCCTTTTTCACAGCATCTAATATCAACTCTCAAATTGATGACCTCCTTCTGCCATTATTTCTCAATGTCCCAATATAACCTTCTCCATCTGGACATTTTTAAAGATCACAGCTTTCGGTGTGGCTCTGTGCTGTTCATCAATGGCACAGGTCACACAGGGACTGACTGGCCAGGCTGTTCCCTGCACAGAATGTGGTTCTGGAACGCCTGATTACAGAGCTTCACTTATTTTAACTCTCGCTGCTCTGGTCGGGACTCATTTAGGATCTATAAGCCATATTATAAGGGTAAGTTCTAAAAAATTATTATAGCGATGAGCCATTTCATTGCCAAACAGAAATTTTATCTTGAACAACCAACTTCTCTCAATATATGTAGGTCTGAGATTGAATATTCTTTATCATTGGTGCCACTTTCTAGTGAAAACAATATTTATCACTTGTAAGGTTGTGGGGTTTTTAAATCTCTCCATGACTACTGGAAATAATGTCTTGTGACATAACAATCTAATATTCCACAAGCGACATCATAAATCCTCATCTGTATAAATAGGAAATTTTCACAGTCCTATGATGCTACTGAGAATACGCTCATTCTCTGCTCTTGTCACTCTTTTAATCACCTTTTTTTCTGAGGCTGGGGAGACGGAGCCCTCAGTTGCGCAGAATCATACTTGTTTAAAGAACGTAGACCTTTGCAGCAGGGGAGCCTCAAGCTCACATTGATGCCGATCTAAAAACTATTTTGAAAAAATAAATTTCTAGCGGTCGTTCTAAATTGACTTTGATCATGCTTAAGAAGGGAGATACAACTAATCACGGGAATGTTTCAGTATAATCGTAATTTGAGGGAATCTCAATGAAAAAGTGATCAGCTATTCAATTTTCATTGTGTTGCTTATACAGTAAGTAGCAGATCAGACATAAATAATACACAATATATACATATTCTGGATATTTCCAGGCTTTATTTTGCACCAAGACATATTCTCACAAATGTGCATTTCAAACATTATAGATACTAAGAACTTTAAAGAAATGGGTAAAGTTTATAATTACGGTGACAGTGAGAAACAAGGGGAAATGTGGACACTTAAATTTTATATCTTTTTGAAAATTTTCCCTTAGTTAAAATATACCTTTAACACAAAGTATAAGCTTGTCAAATATTGTTCTATAATTTCTCACATCATTTATAACAATAGGAAATTGATTAGAAAATATGAAATGGAAAGTAAATCTAAAGTGTAACAAATTCAGAAAAATATTGTCACTTCTAACTGATTGATATAATCAAAATATGTTTTTTAAAATACCACTGATAAATGCTGGCCATAAAATTTTTTTGAATTAACGGGCATCTCTATTAAAATAATAAATATCATTAATTCACCTACCAGATTTGCAATGATGTAATGGTACCCTTTAACGTGTTTTCCAATGGTAATAACCTAACAAAGATAAAGAAACAAATGTAAGTAATGTAAATGTAAAATTACTTCTGTTATGACCTGATTCAGAAAATAAATTTTATCTACTGTGTTTCTTGATAGTCTACAATGAGTCATATTTGATAAAATATAATTATCAAATTCAGATAATATTTCTCTCAGAAAAAAGTAACCATACATTTTAGTGCTTTATAAATATTATCTTTCAAGAAGTCAATAACTAAACAAAAGTGATTACCTTGGTTTCGTTAATAGTGAAAATAAGGTTTCAATATTTTAAGAAATGTGAAATCAAAAACGTGTTGAATCCCTAATAAGGCATAATTTTATTCTTACAAAAGCTATTTTTTTTCTTTTCAGTGAAACATAGACAGCTGAACCCAGCATCTGAGATTTTATATTCACAATCTACATTCAAAGATAAACACAGAGTTTATAGCAGTACATGGGTTTTTAAAAGAATATTAATAAGCATATAACAGAATTGTTATATAGATCTATAAAATAAAATTCCAATCTTAAGAATCTTGAAATACTTATAGTCTAGTTCAAATGAACATTGTTATTTCTCGTTTAAGGCAGCAAAATGTCAGAGAAGCTAATTTCTCTCCACAAATCTAAGTCAAAAATCATGGCACAAGTAGTCATTTGGCAATGCTCCCAACAGTTTTGGACATTATTGTATCACCTGGACTCTCACTGATCTCTTATCACTTATAAAGGGAAGTAGGTAAAATGGCCACGCTGCAGCCCTGGTACTGAGATACTCAAATGTAATTTCTATTTTTAAGAAAATAGTCACACTAACGGAAAGCATTAACTGTTATTAAAAATGGAAAAGGTTAGATTCCCTCCCTTACTGAACTGTTTTGGCGGCTTCCCCTTGCTTTTATTAGCGTAATGTACGAAATCCTTCACACACTGTGACGCTCAGGCCCACCTTCTCACTCTCTATACTAGAGCCACGTGGCCCTCTTTTTGTTCCTTTGTGCAAAAAGAGCTTCTTTCCGTCACCTCAGGGCTTTCATAGATCCTGTTTCCTCTGCTTGGAAAGCTCCCTCCACACCATACCCTTTGTCTCTTAAGGCACAGTGAATCTCAGCCCAGTGTTACCTCCTAGAAGACTTCCCTCCTTCATCCCAGGCAAAGTCAGATGCTCCAAAGCAACACATTCAGTCAAAGAGCAAGGGGAGGGCCAGATCCCAGAGGGATTCCACCGTATGTTACTTTGATAGTCTAGCATGGTCACAAATTTGGAAGGCAGTTAGGCTTATCTTATTTTTTAACTTATTTTTTTGTAACGCAACTAAATTGCCTTTTCCAAGAAAATGAATACTCTGTGTTGAAGGGAGAATTTTGAAGAAAGATGTCCTCCTGAATGAAAAATCTATTAATTAGCATCAGCTGAACTGAGACGGTCATGCCCCTCCTATTTCCTACTGGCATCTGTTGATTGTGCTTATTGGTCATTCTACTTTCATAATCGTGCGTGTTTTCCTTCTGGGAATTCAGAAAAAACACAGTATTAATGGTGCTACCAGAAGTAGAAGTAGTTGAGTTTAGTGTTCATTGAGAAAAAGGAGAAATATGAAGAATGGTCTAGGCTTACTTCTCTCTAAGAATTAGTATCAGCCATACCATCATATCTTTGCTTTATGGAGCCATTAGTATTGCATTAACAGTAGTAAATTTATGTTAATTTCTAAGTGTTTTTGATGTCTGAGTCCTTTACCCACCTAATCACAACTAGAAATAAGTGTCTCTAAAGTTTTATTGAATGATAAAATACTCATAGACTAACAGCATTTAATTATATTTCTAACTTTAAGCAATGATGAATATAAAGTTTCATCTCATCTCCATTCTCTTGACAGAGTGAGTAAGTCAATAGTGTTTCCTTTTCTTGAAATGTACCTCAACCCCACTTTCTGCCTGGTAAACTCTATTCCTTGAAGGCCTACCATGATCTCCCAGTCGAAATTATTTTTTCTGCAATTTTTTTTCTCATAACATCCTGTTCTGTTCATTCATAGTATTACCATTACTATAACTGCATATTAACGTAACTGTGAAACATCATGGCTATTCACCTTGATGGGCATGCCTGTTTTGTTTAACACTACATCTTGGATCTCCTGCAGTGCCTGTCTGGTAAGCATCAGACACTCAGGGAAATTCACTGAACAAACAACTGGAGGAATCCAAGCCAGCCAGCCAAGTGGTACCCATGTGTGACCCATTCATACATCTTCCCAACCCTGTTAAGACAGGTACTTCCTCCTGCATGCTCTTAGACCACATTGCTTTACAACTTGTAATACAGCAGTGTTTATTGTGTGTGTACATTTTCCTTCCCCTTTAAACAATGAATTCAGAAGGTAAAGTCAAGACCCTTACCTTTCTTGGCATCCCTCATTCCAGATACATACAATGTCCTCAATAAATCCACACACTCACATAATACATTCAAATAAAATATATGTGCAAAATACTGTGTACATTTTGAATGGATGTCCATATGGACATTTATTTAATCACGATCATATATTTGCTACAAAAAATTTCATTCCATGAAATAATGCCATTTGCAGCAACATGGATGGACCTAGAGATTATCATACAAAGTGAAGCAAGTCAGACAGAGAAAGACAAATATCGTATAATAACACTTATATGTGGAATCTAAAATATGACACAAATGAACGTATCTATGAAACAGAAACAGACTCATAGACATAGAGAACAGACTTATGGTTACCAAGGGGGAGAAGGGGTTAGGGGAGGGAAGGATTGAGAGTTTGGGATTAGCAGATGCAAACTATTGTATAAAGAATGGATAAACAACAAGGTCCTACTGTATATCATAGGGAACTATATTCAATATCCTGTGATAAATCATAATGGAAAAGAATATAAAAAAGAATGTATATATGTGTGTCTGCATATATATATATATATGTGTGTATATATATATATATATATATATATATATATCTGAGTCACTTTGCAGTAGAGTAGAAATTAACACAACATTGTAAATCAACTATGCTTCAATAAAATAAATTTTTAAAAAATTCCATTCCACTCATGCAGCTTAATATCATCAAAACAAGCAACCCAATCAAAAAATGGGCAGAAGACCTAAATAGACATTTCTCCAAAGAAGACATACAGATGGCCACGAGGCACGTGAAAAGATGTTCACCATTGTTAATTATCAGAGAAATGCAAATCAAAACTACAATGAGGTATCACCTCATGCCAGTGAGAATGGCCATTATCAAAAAATTTACAAACAATAAATGCTGGAGAGGGTGTGGAGAAAAGGGAACCCTCCTGCACTGTTGGTGGGAATGTAAATTGATACAGCCACTATGGAGAACAGTAAGGAAATTCCTTAAAAAACTAAAAATAGAACTACCATATGACCCAGCAATCCCACTACTGGGCATATACCCTGAGAAAACCATACTTCAAAGAGTCATGTACCACAATGTTCACTGCAGCACTGTTTGCAATAGCCAGGACATGGAAGCAACCTAAGTGTCCATCGACAGATGAATGGATAAAGATGTGGCACATATACACAATGCAATATTACTCAGCCATGAAAAGAAACAAAATTGAGTTATTTGTAGTGAGGTGGATGGACCTAGAGTCTGTCAAACAGAGTGAAGTAAGTCAGAAAGAGAAAGACAAATACCATATGCTAACACATATATATGGAATCTAAAAAAAAAAAAAAAAATGGTACTGATGAACCTAGTTGCAGGGCAGAAATAAAGAGGTAGACCTAGAGAATGGACTTGATGACATGGGGTGGGAGGGCGAAGCTGGGGCAAAATGAGAATAGTAGCATCGACATACACTACCGAATGTAAAATATTTAGCTAGTGGGAAGCAGCCGCATAGCACAAGGAGATCAGCTCAGTGCTTTGTGACCGCCTGGAGGGGTGGGATAGGGAGGGTGGGAGGGAGGCTCAAGAGGGAGGGGATATGAGGACATGTGTATGCATATGGCTGATTCGCTTTGTTGTACGACAGAAACTAACACAGTACTGTGAAGCAATTATACTCCATTAAAGATCTATTAAAAAAGTAAAATGGATAACCAACAAAGACCTACTGTATAGCACAGGGAACTCTGCTCAGTGTTATGTAACCACCTAAATGGGAAAGTTATTTGAAAAATGATAGATACATGTATACACATAACTGAATCACTTTGCTGTACACCTGAAACTATCACATTTCTAATCAACTATACTCCAATATAAAATAAAAAGTTTACAAAAAAAGATTAAAAAAAAATCCATTCCATATAGTCCCAGTTTCTTTTGTAGTTTCTCTCTTCTAGTTTTGGAAATAATTATTTTCATATAGGCTTTCAGCAACTTGTATTATTATGAGTCATGAATACCTAAATTTTTAAAACAAAGACTAACAACTATTATCAAAATTCAGTTTTAATGAGAACCTCCTCTGAAATTCAAATGAGTTGTTAGGCTCCCATTTGAACAGAGGCCTTCGGGTTAAAGACAATCCCAGCTTCCTCTCCGGAGACAAGAATCAAGACTGTTCTACTGAAATGTTGACCTCTCTGATATAAAACATTTAGTTTGTTGTCATAACAAGCTAGTTTTATTCAGTTATTCAATATTTCATGAGAGATCCATTTTGTATATCTTAGGCCCTGTATTATTCTATAACAATTAAGGGTTCATCAAGGTTTATGTTTGCAAAATGCTTTGTTTTACAGATTAGTGAATCTAATTTTCTCCTCAAAGCCTAAGAAGGGCCAAGATATGCATACTTAATTGTGTAGTTTTCCTCCAATCCTATATTATTCCAAGGAATAATTTTATATACATACATTTGTGTATGTAAGTGACATACATAAACATATAACATATATATAATTATTCCAAGGAAAATATTATAAATGTACATTTTCAGCTGGAAAAGAAGCAGAAACCAGTGGAGGAGGCCTTAGGCAGCAAATCCTGATGCTTTTTAGCACCAGCTCTGGTCACCTACCCTACCTGCATAACATAGTGGATTTTATTTCTATCGTGTGGAAATCACTGCATGGCCGTCCCATCCTGAAAGATCTTAAAAGGAAGCAAGGTGATGTGGTGAGCACAGATATCTCTGGTATCATATTATTCTTTAAAATAATATAAATCAATACATCTAGTTTACTTTTCAAGCAGCAAGGACTGCATATATCACTCCTACATATTTTTTTTCATAGATTAATAGTTTCACAGTGACACAAAACCTACCTACTTAGGAGGAAAAAAATTACTTCTTGGAAAAATAAATACATGCTTTTTCTGAAGACCGAAGTCCACTCAGACAACAATCCAGGTTTAGCACACCACACTATATCCTAATGTTTGAAGTACTCCACGTCTTGCCGAAGAATCCATGAATTACTCACTTTTCCCTTAGGACCCAGACTTATTTTCACTTCATACCTGCCCATTTCTTTCTCTCTTAACAGCTCAAAAGAATTGAATTTTAAATTTCCACTTCAAAATATCAAAATTTAGGACAACACGATAGACCACACGATCAGGACCTGTATATTGCATACAGGTAATGGTTCGTGTGATGTGCCAGCACTACTGGGGACGCCCTGCTCTTGCTGAGTGAAGCCAGGGAGAAGGTCACTGCTGATCCTTGCCGGGTCCTCCACGGGCCCTGGGGAAACAACCTGCTGCTCAAGCACCGCCCCGAAACGCTCCCTGCAAACGCCGAGGCTGCACGCACGCGCTCGATTGGGCGCCCTAGGAAACAGACAGGAGCCCACCTGGTCCACGATGTCGTTGACTTTGTCCCGCTCACAGTCCAGGATGACCCGCCGTTCCTTCTTTAGCTCCAGATCCTGGAAGAGCGAGCGGTAGGTCTCATCTTTCTTGTCATTGTTGATGTTCCCCACGTTGATAGCAGTCACTTGCCACTTCTTTTCGGCAGCGGAATCCAGCACCGCCTGCAGGGTGGACAAGCCTAGGAAAGCAGAGAGACAGGGGGGCTGATGGCAAAAGGCTCGACTAACGGAGAAGCGCGCTGCGAAACTGACACGCATCTGGAAGGCTGCTACTTTTCTGCAACGAAGGGATGCTGACGCCTCTGAAGAGCGACAGCTACGATCCTTCGCAACACCCGCTCGTTGCCACTTCGCATCCAGAGCTCTTTCCTCTACCTGGGAAAACTGCACCCCCTTCATGCGGGCTTCTCAGCTGTTTTCTTTTGGACATTACCAAAGTGTGGTGTTTTAATACCTCTGGGGTTTGGGGGGTTTTGTTTGTTTGGCCACACCGTGCAGCTTGAGGGATGTTGGTTCCCCAACCAGGAATTGACCCCGTGCCCTCCGCAGTGAAAACGCCCAGTCCTAACAACTGGACCGCCAGGAAATTCCCTACCTCTGGTTTTAATGAAATCAAAGGACATCCATTCTTTCTTGTATAGAATAGAAAAAAATATTTCTTTATATATGACACGCTATCATTTCACATTATTATCCTGAAGACGGTGAGTCTATTTTCAGTGAGATGAATCTAGGTGGGTCTATGCGAGTCTGAAAACCAGTCATCTCTGAAGCTGCTCGATTTCCTCCTATCGTTTTCTGGTCGGCAGTTGTTATTTATTTATTTTTTTCCCTCAGCCTCTGTTATATCATTTTTGTTACTGGGACTAATCCTGTAGAAATTAAATGTTCACCTATTAACCACATGGTAGCAGTTAGTTTTCTAGTACACATTGGTTACACTTACTTAACTTCCCAAATGTGAGACCACTTTACTCGTCATTAGTAACTTTGTTTATAGCATCATACGACTTAGGTCATATAGAAAACTGTATTTTTGTTTTTAATTGGTCACACATTGCCTCATATGTAGGACTGGGAGGGAAAACAACTTGGGAACATCTTTCCTAAAGTTAATCCTGCAGTTTAGCACTTGGAAAACTAGTATATAGACTTGTCTTCCATGTCACTTCAACTCTTCACAGCCAACCCAAATTCATCATTTCTATGAATAGCTTAATGAACAACAAAAATCAAGGTTCCAAAAAGAATTCAGGACTCATCACATCATCTTCTTTATTGCAGAAAGACAAGAATATTGGACCCTTTTTACCCATAAAATCTGGGGTTTCCCTAATGTGAACACATGACTCTAGAAGCTTAATTCATGTTCTAAACTTTATTGAAATCTATTTACGACAGCAAAAAATATGCGTATTCTAAATGTTGTTGAAAATTACCTGAGCCTGGAAAATATCATTAAAATTCTCATTGATTCCATATTGCCAAGGGTATATAAGATGAGCCTAGAGCACCTTGTGGCCCCTCCAAAGCAGGAAGCTCTCCAAAACTATCAGCCTCGTGTCAAAAGACCCAGGAGCAAATTTGATGAGAATCACTTTAAACAGAGATGACGCAGTTGGAATAGCAATAAAAATAATAACTGCAAAAGGCTTAAATACATACATTTTCTAATCCATAGATTAGTAATGACATTTAAGAAAAAGATTTGATTGCCTTTGATGGATGCTAAGGAGACAAGCTATTAGTTTGAAAACTGGTAAATAAAGGTAAAGAAACAAGCATTTTCCCACCTTTCCTATATGAACTCTACTCAGGGTAATAGTTCATTAAGGGACGGGTTTTTTGGAAAAACTCCAGCTAATAAATGATGAACGAATATAGATTCAGAATTACAACCAATCTTGTAACACCTTGTGAATTAATGACTCAAGGCAAGAATCGTTAACTGCTGCTAACAAAACAAAAAGAGAGATGCGTAGAAGTTACGTGCCTTCAAATGGGGATACTCAACACCACCTATGAAATATTCATGCCAAGAAGTGAACGTGAACCTCAGCAAGGATCTAGATCTAATTACCCTTTTATAACGAATATATGGCACAGAGTAATATGTTAATCAAAGTCCAGACTGTGGGAAGCTCTACATTACCTTATAAAAGCCTAAAGAGATATGTTAACTAACTGGATATGTGGACCTCACTTTTATCCTGATTCAAACAAACTGTGAAAAAAAAAATAGATGATGCTAGTAACGAATTACTGTTAAGTTGTCTATATATGATAATGATATTGTAGTTATACTTAAACCAAGAGAATTGTTCTTTCAAAATATAAACTGAAATATTTACAGCTGAAATAACAGGATGTCAGTTATTTGCCTCAAAATAATGGTCAGGGGCTTCCCTGGTGGCGCAGTGGTTGAGAATCTGCCTGCCAATACAGGGGACACGGGTTCAAGCCCTGGTCTGGGAGGATCCCACATGCCGCAGAGCAACTAGGCCCGTGAGCCCCAACTACTGAGCCTGCGGGTCTGGAGCCTGTGCTCCGCAACAAGAGAGGCCGCGATAGTGAGAGGCCCGCACACCACGATGAAGAGTGGCCCCCGCTTGCCGCAACTAGAGAGAGCCCTCGCACAGAAACGAAGACCCAACACAGCCAAAAATAAAATAAATAAATTTTTTAAAATAAATAAATAATAATAATTGTCAAGAGCAGGATAGAGATAAAGCAAGTTTCCTCTTACCCTTCACTAATAAAGCTGGCTTAAGTGTCCTTTCAGGTCTTCTTCAGGACACATTATTCTGTCCATGTTGTTATTTTAAATATTTCATAATGAAAATTGAAAATAATTTACTTTTATTTCAAACTGAAAAGTCGAACGATAAATTAAACTTGAAATGAATTTTGTGGGGTTTTTTGGGCAAAACAACAAAATTAGTTTCCTCCATCCAGTCTTGTAGCAAAAAATACAGGGTACTCAAGAATTACTCAAGGGATAACTTAAACAGAGACCACATACCATTGTAAAAAATCTATTAATGATAAAACTTCTTTTAAAAACTTCACAGATCACCTATGATTTCCGTTCACTGTAAGTAAATTAAATCCTTCCAGGATGCATTCCAAGTCCTTTTCCCGTTTTTCATCATCAGTGAAGACAGAACCAAAGTTGGTCATCATGATGGACGCAACAGCTATCAATGTGCTTGAAAACACTTATTAAGTTTATTCAGTTTTTTTTCCAAGTAGGAGAAAAAGCTAATTTTCTAAACCTTTTTCACTGTCAAAGGTCCTACTTCGCCACATTCCAGTCATGATGTGACTCTTGTCACCTCTTTAAAACGACACATCCATGGGTGGTGTTCTACATACTACATATTACCATACAGCACTCACACGTGAGCTTCCTTTCTTCCAGGTAATCAATCATTTCATGTTGCTTTCATTTAATTATGAACTTAACCACATACCAAGTTAAAGTTTCAAGTGGTGATGCTCTTGACATTCTGTCCTATCCTTTAACACATATAACAAGAAATTTTAAATATAAATGCCAATGTATAAATGAATCTCAAGTGATATTTCTAAACTTAACATGTGTTGGCAGTTCACCTTGTCCAAAATATGGAGAGGATATATATATATAAAATCAATAAAAATGCATTTAAAGAAATAGCTGATTCAAACTCATCCATTTTATGTATCAAAAAATAACTCACAGTTGGTGTGGATTCTGTTATGAAAACTCTTAGAAGTAATATTTTGTAACCTATGAAACCTAAAAAAAAATACATCCATTTATTAAGATGCTAAACTGCCCAAGTGGTACGTAATCAGACGATGAATTTAGTTTCATCGGAAGACACTGAATATTATTCAGTTATCTCCTAAGGACAGCCAGAAATAATTCACCAACCATGGCATGATCTGTCTCACATTTTGAAGAGACTGCTGTCCCATGCTTATTAATCAATATTCTCCGATTTGTTTTATTTTTGGAAGTAGCAACTGACTCTCTCAAATACTTTCTCAACTTGATCTGCCCCTTTCCTACAACTAAGAGTTTTCTATTATGTCTTGTCTGGTTAGTTTAAAATTAATAGATCATTTTAAAATTTAAAAAAATCACTGAAAATGCACATCACAAATAGTAGGGTGAAATTAAATTATTCATACACAACACAAACTGATGCTCTTAGCCTCTTGGTAACATATTCCAATTAGGAGAGAAAGTATTACCTCTTTCCCTTCCACACAAACTAGCCTAGAAGTATCTTTATAAATACACTCATCCCTTAATTCAGAATATAAACTTGTATGGACACTGGGAATTCTATGTAAGTATTGGTTTGTTTAAAAACATTAGTAGCTGGTTATTCAACTCTAATATCTGTACCACTAAATCAGGACATTTAAATCCTGGTTTAATTTCTTACTATTTTATTGCTTATGACAAAGAGAACTTGAGATATACCGTTGTTCATCTACAAATAGAAAAAAAAAATTGGAAAATTAACTGCTCTTTCTAAGAAATATATTTAAAATATATTCTGAAAAACCTCAAGAAGGGCTTCCCTGGTGGCGCAGTGGTTGAGAGTCCGCCTGCCGTTGCAGGGGACGCGGGTTTGCGCCCCGGTCCGGGAGGATCCCACATGCCGCGGAGTGGCTGGGCCCGTGAGCCATGGCCGCTGAGCCTGCGCATCCGGAGCCTGTGCTCCGCAACGGGAGAGGCCACAGCAGTGAGAGGCCCGCGTACCGCAAAAAAAAAAAAAAAAAAATCCTCAAGAATATGACAGGAGTATAAAATTCAGTTCTACACTCTATTAAATGCTCAGACTTCTGGAGAAAATAAAGACTAGCTAAAGTACTGCTACTTACTTCTGTATTATGTTACTTCTTCGAGTGCCTAATTGTTGCTGGACTAGTTACAGCTGTACACCCTATTTATAAGCTGACACTCTCCCTAAAACTCTCTCCAAGAACCATCAGTAGTTCACAGTCGCATCTTAAGCTACTGCTCCTAAGCCTGTGACAAAATTACAGAAAAACCTTCAGCCCTGAAACAGGTGGAGTCTAAATGCCTCAGTTTGCACAGTACTAGGTGGAATTAAAAGTGACTACTGCATATAGGTATATTTCATTCAGACCATGTCTTTCTTCTTGAAAATATTTTTTGTTCCATTTAAAATTCACAGCCCTTATTCATCTTTCAGGCACAGAAATTAATATTTTATGATCACTAAATCACAGCAGCACGTCTAGGCCAGATTAGATTAACATATATTTCCCTCATTGACTTTCTCAGGAACATCATAAAAGCAATTTATAATCTGGAAGCATTTTTATGCTAGGCATGATGCCTTTTTTGAACTGGAATCCATGTGCCTTTCCTTCAGGGGACAAATAGTGTGGTTCAAAGTTAAAACCGAGTTATAAAAGCATTAGTTCTGGTTTTACCAACTGTCTACAGAAATGTATGACCTTACCTTATGAACATTGACGCAATAAATAAAAACCACATTTTGATTAAGTCCTGGTTCAAATGTGGTACATGTGAATCCAAAGACAAACCTATATTGAATGCAGTAACATAGGCAACCCCATGACTCTCTATCTCCAATGTGTTGAAGATCCGTCTACCTACTCTCCCTGCCATCTACCTCCTCTCTCCGGAACTTTTAGGAAGGGTGTTGGGTTATCCATTGAGGAGTGCCAGGCTGCTGCCACATGACTTGGATAAAGAGAAGACACCAGCATTCCTAAAGGGTCACACGGCACCAGGTGAACAGTTTCAGCAATCCTCTCACCGGTAAACCTGAAATAGTCAAAAGCCTATACAAAGATCAGGATGCATCCATGTCTTCCCTTGTCTACAACTGGGATGTAGTCTCCTGGACTTGCTGCTCGGCCTTTGGATGGATAGCTGGAATCAGGAAAGGTTTCACTGGCAGTCCTAGTTAAAAGCAGTGCAAAGAAGAAGCATAGAAAAACTGTGTCCTTTTCATCTAGCTTGTATTCAGTGCAGAATGTTGGACAGCCATTCTCATGCTTGGGCTAGTCAAAAGAACATCAATTCATATATTTAGAAATTAAAAGTTAACAGCATGTTTACCTGATCTAGACTCTCAGAAAATTAAAGATTATTAAAAACAAATCCTTACGGTCAAGGACCTGGAAAGAGTACCATATCAAAAACAGACAAAACTCTTTGAAATTGAGGCACATGGAGACATAACTTGAAAGATCAAATCATGGAGCCTATTTTTCAAAGCGCTCATAATATAGTAAGGGCACAGATTCATTCTCAAGTCGTGTAACACAAAAACAAGGAGGTGCTTCCTTAAAGTGTAAGAGAAGTGGGCTAAGGACCATAGGGGGGAAAAAACAGTTCATGTGGTAAATGTATGAATAAACGTTTTAAAATGTGATACGACAGCGAAGCTGTAACAATTGTAATTAGTAAGAAAAATCAGAGAGCAAACATGCCATTTCCACGAGTCAAGTAAAACATTACATAAGGGTCTTTTGCCAGTATTTTGAGTCTTACACATTTATCTCTGAAAATAGATTCAGATGAAAAGCCAGTGTGATACTCTTCATATTAAAACATGAGTATCCATTTGAAAATATCTTGAAAATGTATCCATAATGTCAGTTCTGGCTTTAATATATAATTACTTAATGTTATCACTGTAATGTTGACCTCTCCACAGATGCACTCGAACTCAAATCAATTTGTATAATTTAATGATTGGAGATTATCGCATCATTTCAATTTCATTTAATATTCATAAAGTGTTAATAAAATCATTAAAGATGTGTCAGGTTCTTTTCACAAGTACGTAAGTCCATCCATCATCATCCGATCCATAGTGACGCTGCAGTGTTTCCCTAAAGTGAAAACACCGCCTTGCACCTAGTCAAAGAGTAGAGAGAACTCACCTCTGATCCTTCAATTTAGCAAGCAAGATCCAGGTTCTAATACCACCTCAAACTTAAAATACACAGATGCTCAACTCATTCAGTTATTGATGCTATTTATTGACATCAACTCTGTGCCAGCATTATCTTAAGCGCTGTATGTACAGTTAGGTGTAGTGGGTACTGCCAGGGCATTGCCTTCCTGGGCTTAGAGCCAGATCTTAAATTAAAAGAATAAAGCTTAGTCTGTGTGATTCAAACAGTCCCTAGAATATACTGGGAGCTCACTGCTTGGGTGAAAGAATGAACATCAATATTAATTATAACTTGTGATAAGTACTATGTAGGGAAAGAAAAGATTGCTTTGAGAGAAGATAACGATACGAAGTGCACCTCTGCGGGAATGTTATATAAACTAAGACCTGAAGGAGAAAAATTTAGAAGTCTGTGCAGAGATTCAAGGTGAAAGAATTTGGCGCACCTGAGAAAGTAAAAGAATAATCGTGAGATGGGTTTAGCCTAGTGAGTGAGAAAGGCAGTGGTATAAGTGGGCAGGAACCAGGTACTACAACACCTTACAGTCACGTTAAGAACTTTCAGTTTTATCCTCATTATAACGAGGAGCCACTGAGGTATTTTAAGCAAAGGAGCAATGTGGTCAGTAAAGCATTTAAAAGTATTCAAAAAATAGAGCTACCGGATGATCCTGCAATCCCACCCAGAGGAAACCATAATTTGAAAAGATACACACACCTCAATATCCACTGCAGCACTATTTACAATATGCAGGACGTGGAAGCAACCTAAATGTCCATCAACAGAAAAATGGATAAAGAGGATGTGGTACATATACACAATGGAATATTACTCAGCCCTGAAAAAGAATAAAATAATGCCATTTGCAGCAACACGGATGGACCTAGAGATTATCATATTCAGCAAAGTAAGTCAGACGAAGAAAGACAAATATATGCTACCACTTATATGTGGGATCTGAAAAGATGATACAAATGTACTTATTTACAAAACAGAAACAGACTCACAGACATAGAAAACAAACTTATGGTCACCAAAGGGGAAAGGTGGAGGGGAGGGATAAATTAGGAGTTTGGGGTTAACATGTACACACTACTATATATAAGATAGATAAACAACAAGGACCTACTATATAGCACGGGGAACTCTACTCAATACCTTGTAATAACCTATAATGGAAAAGAATCTGAAAAAGAATGGATATATGTATATTATAACTGAATCACTTTGCTGTACACCTGAAACTAACACAACATTGTAAGTCAACTATACCCCCATATAAAACAAAATTAAATTAAAAATAAATAAAAGCATTCAAAACTTCTGGCTCCTTTACGGAAAGTGGATTGAAGAGAAACAAGTACAGAAATGGAAGGATGAAGGATGAACACATGGGGCTGTCCTGTCCTGGAGTCATGACAATGAAACAGAAGAGCGGCTAGAAGTAAAAGACGTTTAGATGGTAGAAATCCTATGAAGAGGAGACAAGAGTTAAGGAGGACGTAGCAGAGGGCAAGAGGAAGATGATGATAAGCCCTGTATCTCATTTATCAGAAGGATGGGCAGAGGGCCATCCAGCACACCGGAATCCGTATTTACTCTCAGCTGTTCTGTGTTTGAGTTGTTCACTCCCCATGTGTACAGCAAGGCTCTCCCTTGTCAGAGCAGCGGGAAAGTTGTTGGCAGTCTTTCTTCTCAGTGTCTATAGTTCTGACTGGCTTTTCCACGGAGCCTTCTCATTCTCAGGACTGGAGGCCGGGACAGGGAATCAGACACCAGGCTGGAGCATGCTAGGCTGTGATTGCTGTAGCCAATGTCTCCAGACTGATCGTGGCAGAGGGCTGGCAGCTGGCTCCCCGCTTGGCCGCCCTCGCAGGTAAGCAAGGTGCCCTCTCCTGGTAGAAAGAGGCTTCTGGTTTTCACTTGAACATTTAAAGCAAGTTGCTTTGTGGACGGGCTGGTATCTATTAGGTACTCTGGCAATGGTGGTTGTCAATACTTTTGAGTCTGTGGGTGGATACTCTCTCGAGAAAAATCATCTACGTTCATGTGCACAAAATGTTCATTCGATGTTACAAAGTACACAGACCCACTGAAGCTGAATCACAGACCCAGGAATGGTTAGAAATATCTGAAATTCTATGACACGTAAGTCAATCAGGTCCGCTAATACCAAACTTCACCACAAATGATGCGGGAAACACAAAGGAAGGACCCTTACCCCTGAAATAAAAACTAGTAAAATGAGCCAAGACTCTAATCCAAAGCGTCTCCTCGTAAATAGCTGTAGAAGAGCTGTGACAAAGCACAGGTCTGCTGTCAAAAGACCTGAGTTCAGCTGAACCACACATGGGTGGCTCATGAAAAAATCAACTTCTCTGAGATTCAGGGATCTCATTCTAAAGCAGGGTTAATAACAACTGTCCCTGCCTGATAAAATCTTTGCATGTGGAAATATTTAATGTCTGTTCATTTCGTAGACGTTCTTATTTATAGATTTATTCAACTCTTACTTAAATCAATTTTCAAGGCCGTCACTTCACTGACCCTGGACTGGGAATATAGTCATCCTAGGGTCTTAGCTGCTGGTACCAGAAAGTGCTTTGTGCCTTACAACTGAACATTAGGGCGTTGTGTGAACACAATCTATCTCTGTAAATGGTACATCCACAACGTTTTTGCTTGTTTGTTTTACTCTAAATATGTTACCCCCGTTTTGAATTGCATCACTCATTTACACAGCATAATTAAGCCAAGTTACCCTTGGACTTCAACACACTTACATAGCCCTATAAAGTCACACGGAAGTATCAAGTGTGGGCACTGAATCTGACCCATTACAAAGGGAGAAGGATGTTGTCACTTACCTCTGTCACTGTCATAGAGGTACGCAAACTTGTCCCATTGGTAGTACTCAATCAAGCTGAGAAGTGCTCCTTTGAGGTCTGGTCGCATCTGAATGACAAATGGGTGGGTACCATCTGTCGGGAAGCTGGGAGTGATGAAGGATACATGGAGCGTCCCGCAGAATGACGTGATGGTGTTTACAGACTTCTTGTCATAAAATCCAAAAATTGCATATACTCCTCTTGAAAACTGGGAGCAGACTAGAAGAAGAGGGGAAACAGAAAGGATAAATCACATGCATTTGCTTGAAAGTAAATGCCCTTTTGCATAAAATACAAAAGAATCAACGTATTGAAAACTACAGAGAGTTGATATCAATAATTCATCAAATTTTTGAGCGCTTATTTACTTAACACCCCACTTGAGGAATTCAAAGAATTATAAAGCATTAAAAAATAATTCTGGCTATGGGACTACATGAAACTTAAAAGCTTTTCCACAGTGACAGAAACTGTCAACAAGTTTGAAAAGGCAGCCTACTGAATGGGGGAGGAGATTTTCAAATCCTACATCTGATATGGGGTTAATATCCAATATGTACAAATAACTCGTACAACTCAACTTCAAAAACAAAAACAACCCAATTAAAAAATGGGCAGAGGACCTGAATAGACACTTTTCCCAAGAAGACATACAGATGGCCAACACATACATGAAAAGATGTTCCACGTCAATAATCATCAGGGAAATGCAAATCAAAACCGCAACGCGCCATCACCTCACACATTAGAATGGCTGTCATCCAAAAGACAACAAATAACACATGTTGGCAAGATATGGAGAAAGGGGAACCCTCATGTACTGTCGGTGGAAATGGAAATTGGTGCAGCCACTATGGAAAACGTTACAGAGGTTCCTCAAAAAATTAAAAATAGAACTACCGTACAATCCAGCAACTCTACTTCTGGGTATTTTTCTGAAGAATAAAAAAACCACTAATAATGTACCCTAATGTTCATAGCAAGCAGCATTACTCACAATAGCCAAGACATGGAAGCAACCTAAGTGCCCATCAATAGATGACTGGGTAAAGAAGACGCAGTGTATGTACACAAGGGAATATTACTCGGGTATAAAAAGTTAAAAAGAAAAAACTCCTGGATAGACCTAAAGGATATTGTGCTAAGTGAAATAAGTCAGACAGAGAAGGCAAATCGTGTATGCTTTTATTTCTATGCGGATTCTAAAAAACGGACAAACAAAAAAGAATAAACATAACAAAACAGAAACGGAGTCATAAATACAGAGGACGAACAGATGGTCACCAGAGAGGAGGTGAGGGGGTGAGTGAAACAGGTGAGGGAGCTGGAGAAGGACAAACTTCCAGTTTCAGAATAAATCAGTCACGGGAATGAAACGTACGTTGTGGGGAATATAGTCAATAATACTGTGTATGGTGACAAACAGTAACTAGACCTATCTTGGGGATCATTTTGTAATATACAGAAATAACGAATCATTATGTTGTGCACCAGGAACTAACAGAGTGCTGTTGGTCACTTACACTTCAAAAACAATACTGATGTGTATAAAATGGATGACTAATAAGAACCTGCTGTATAAAAAAATAAATAACATAAAATTAAAAAAAAAACCAACAAGCAAACTCATAGAAAAAGAGATCAGATTTGTAGTTATGAGAGGTGAGGGCTGGGGGAGAAGAAATTGGATGAAGGTAGTCAAAAGGTACGAAATTCCAGTTCTACATGATAAATAAGTACTAGGGATGTAATGTACCACATGATAAATGTCATTAACACTGCTGAATGTTATATATGACAGTAGTTAAGAAAGTAAATCCTAAGACTTCTCATCACAAAGAAAAATTTTTGAATTTTTCTTTTATTTTGTATCTATATGAGATGAATGTTCACTAAACTTATTGTGATAATCATTTCATGATGTATGTAAGTCAAATCATTATGCTTCATGCCTTAAACTTATACAGTGCTGTGTGTCAATTATAACTCAATGAAACTGGAAGAAAAAAAAGAATATATACACATTCTTATTTAACAAGCCATGTAAGTATAAACATATTTTAGGACAGCCCCATTAAAAAAAGAATACAAGTAAAAATCATTAGTTATAAAGAACAAGCTGCAATTACCTGGGATTTATACATATTCATAATAACTCATTCCTTGTATTATCTGATATTTTTAAAGGCTTTATCGTGCTAATAATGCTTTTATATACAAGATCGGCGCGCTCATGGAAAGTTCTAATGCTAAGAGAAGATGGATGCAGGGCTGGTACCACACACAGAAACATGTCACCCAAAAGGGACATCTCTCACCTTGAGAAACGCAGTCAAGGAGCAATTGTGTGAAGCCCAGAACTCCTATTTTTTTAAGCTTTCCCACAGACTTAACTCATCCCATGTGTTCTACTCCATGCAACACAAAGAATATTATCAAAATACTTTGGCATAGAATCATCATTCTTTAAAAAAAAAAAAAAGACAATATTCTATTTGGAAGTCCCCATCACTCCCACAATCCCTTGTTCTCTACCAGTACTTGTATTTCAGTGAAGGACCTTCTCCCAATCCCTCCGCCACAGTCAGACCATCACTAAGTCATGGTCATTCTAATACCTAAATATACTCAAAGGTGGTCCCCTTATTTCTCTCTCCATACCAACCATCCCAGTTCACTGATAGCATATACCATGTATCTTGGGCTTGCCTTGTGGCCTGCCATGGTACATGAACTCATTTATTTCTTATGCTAACCCTCGAGGTAGGAAAGATTATTATTCCCAAATTACTGATAGGAAAATTGAAACATAGGGAGATTAAGTGACTTACCCAAAGTCAGACAGCTAGTAAGAGATGCTGTATTCAAACCCAGACAGGCAGATTCAGAGTCCACACTCTTAACTAATGGATAATATTGTGTCCCTAACTCGGATTATTGGAATACCTACCCAACTTTCCTCCTTCAACCAATTATGCCCCTTCCATTCACTTCTCCACAATATAACCAGAATAATTTTTTGAAACACAAATTTGATCCTATCTCTCTGAGAAGTAAGGGTTGCTTTGTCCAAGAATAAACCCTGCAATGCACAATACAAACCACACATGGCACAGCGCTTAAGACAACCAAGTCAGGTCAACCACATGCTTTGGGGGAATGAATAGCTGATATCTTTAAATCTCAAAGTTCATTTCGATCCAAAACATGAAAGTCAGCTCTCCAGTAACATAATCTAACGACCCAAAACATAATACCAGGCAACCCTGTAAATTTATTAAATCTCATTTAAAGGATAAGGCCAATACTATCATATTTCATTTTATTGTACTCACAAAAATAAATGGTCTATAGAAAAAGTAGATTTGTTTAATGAATAAGAGCATTGCTAAAATACATAGATTTGGATAGCCAATTGCAGACAATCAATAAATGATGGGCAATAATTTTTAATGACTATCATGTGATATGAAATGAAAGAAAAGCCAGATTGGCCAGTTCTCTGAGTGGCCCTTATTCATCAGATGTTTCAATTTTCCTCTAAATATTTATCATCTTCAACTCACTTCTGCCTTTCTAACATAAGACGTTTCCTGGGATTTCTAGGTTATGTCTGTGTAATGGTCGACTGACATCTTTACTAACAATCTTCTGCAGAACAGACTAATATGTCTCAGAAAACAGCTGTATGTATTTCTTTACATTTACTCTAATACTTTAACATAAAGCAAAGATGAGATTCCCGACTTTTATTCATATTTATGTTTTTGTCCTCATCTGAGAACAGATGTTGAAAACCACCTTTAATGTGTTTGACTCTGCTCATTCCTGACTTACATGAGAAATCCCTTTCACTATTCAAACCCTTCTGGGCAAACTCCGCCGTGATTTCTCATTTTATGCACAGATGTATGCATCCTGACGTGCATATCTTAAATCTTAAGCTTGTTCAGAAATTGTTGACTCCATAGGACGTATAAAAATGAGAAGTTGCTCTAAAATGCTCTCTGGGTCTGTTTTATTTCATTTCCTGCAAAGTGTTGGCATGTCGTCTAAAAACTATAGGGATATCAGGCAATATGATTTATTAATGAGACCTCCACATCCATCCTCAGTGAAACCGCCTGGTAAAGGAAGCCACTGTTTGAATACACAGTCTGAATAAGAAGCCATATCTTTCATTTCCCATTTGTTCTAGACTCTGGAGTGAGTTGTCAAGGGGCCTCCTGGCTGTCGTGACCATCTGGAAACACCTGGCGTTGGCCCAAGCATGGGCACGAGCTGCACAAGACTTCATCAGAGATGAAAATTCACCTAACTCAGAAGGCACCTTTTTGCATGCAGTCCAGCTAATTCTCCAACGACCATAATTGTGGAACCATGGCCGTCCCCTCCTGACTATCTCAGCCACCTCTCAGCCTTTTCCCCTTGCCCGTTATCTCATCAGGGCACATATTCAATTGTCCACTTGCCTACAGCTTCTGTTTTCCTAGATATCTGTCTCTGTGTCGCTTTACCACACACACAATGAACAGCCATTTGGTCGGCATTGCTCACCTACCCTGACCTCATGTCTGTCATTCTCCCTGTCCCCTCAAATGATAAGGATATCATTGCGTTTACACCCAGGACTCAGTCAGAATGCTGACCTGAGCTAAGGTATTTTGCTTACCCAGTTTGCAGTGACCATCTCAGGATGAAAATCTGAGCGTTGTATTCCTAACACTCCATCCCCCAAGTATCAGCGTGTTCTCGTGCTAATGCTGACCTTCTCCCCAATACAGCACAGATACAAGACCCTACTGACCTGAGACACAAGAACATTAGTTCTCTACTTTGAAAGGACTCCTCCTTTGATTAGAAATGAAATTACTCTTTTTCATCTCTACCTTATTCTCCAGCAATACTCCAGAATTCAAAATCATTTCCCTAACTTATATCCATCCTCAAAGAAGGAAGATTTACTAACACTATCAATATTCAAATGATGTGTCATAGCTCTGGAAACAGTTTCAAAAGAAAACTTTCTAAAATGAGTTAGATAATATCCCACCCCATATATCGTCACCTTGTTCTGTGTCACCTCTGGGGGCAGAGGAAGGAGGAGAAAGCTCTCAGTTTCACCTCTAGATTCATGACCCTATGAAACACTATTATAAGTTTCTGAATAATTATGCTAATTAGTATTAGATTTGCATGTATGTCTTAAAACTCTAAGC